CAACGATGCCACCCGAAGGTTGCAGGAACAGCAACTCATATTCCGCTCGGGAACCTTGCAGCCCAATGGTATCAATGTGGATTTCACAAGCTTCAAAATCTCCCCTCCCCCTACCGCATCCCAAAACCAGTCCAGCTCGTCCCCGCCTCCCTAACCTGTTCTTCCTCCCACCTAAAGCCGCACCTCCATCTCCTACCGACTAACCTCATCCCGCCCCCTTGACCTGTCCGTCCTCCCTGGACTGACCTATCCCCTCCCTAACTCCCCACCTACACTCACCTTTACTGGCTCCATCCCTGCCTCTTCAACCTGTTTGTTTCCTCTCCACCTATCCTCTCCTCTATCCATCTTCTATCCGCCTCCCACTCTCTTCCTTTTTATTTCAGAAACCCCTTCCCCGATGAAGGGTCTAGGCCCAAAACGTCAGCCTTTCTGCTCCTATGATGCTGCTTGGCTTGCTGTGTTCATCCAGCCCTGCACCTTGTCGTCTCGGATTCTCCAGCATCTGCAGTTCCTGGTACCTCTGATTCTATTAAATATCATTGACTTGTACATTTACTAGGAAGACCTGGAACAGAAATTATACTGCCATCTTGCTGTCACCACATACAACAAAATTTCAGTGTGACCTGCTACTTCATACAGAAACTAGATTCTGATCTGCAAGTTTCCCCTGTTGTTGCAACTTTATTCAGTTATAAACTAAATACATGCAGCCTCTTGAATGGGCAATGCTGTGACCAGACCAATTGTTTAAAAAAAAATAAGCCTAGCATTGTTAACATCATTTTTTATTAAACACAACGAAAGAGTTGGTTCTATCCATTGGCAATCAAGTCCAAATTAATTTGTTTTAAAATGGCTTTCAAATGCTTCCAAATTAATAACATTTTCAATGCTTAGTTCTAATTTAATGTGAATTCAGTAAAGTTATTTTAATGCAGTTATACAGCAGCTAAACCACAAAACGTGGTGTGCCTGATTTTACCATTATGTGGATGTAATTTTATCATTACATTAAATAGTAAATTATACTCAATGGTTAGTATAGTTCATAAGTCATGCCTATTTTCACAATGCGGAAAACTGTTGAGAAATTCAAACATTTCACAACTAATAGTCAGCACGTGGATGGACAAGAGGAAAGAACCACGTTAAGAACTTTGAGACTCCCAAGGCAACTACGTGGAAAGTGAAGTCATTGCTACAGATGCTGGGCAACTCTACTACTGAGCTGGACAGATGATTATACTGAAAGATGCTGGCAAGCTTGAATGTGTCAAATGTTGTAGAGAAATTGAAGAGAGAGATAATCCACCAGTTACAAAAACAGTGACTCCCTAGGAATTATTTCCATGCTTAGACAGGGACGAAGATCTGATTAGATAGAAATTCAAACACAGAATGATGGAGAGATCAACTATGATGAAGGAAGTGAGATGTTGTAGATTTGAGAATACAAGGGAGGATGCAGATGAGGTATATGCTGAAATGGCAGAAAAGCCACTGGTGGTGGTGGGCCGGTAGGGCAGGGAAAGAAGAGATGACACAGCACTCTTGAAAGGGAAGAAAAGAAAGTTGGACAGTGAATAGTTTTGTTGAAACTGGATTTGGGAGTAATACATGAGGGTTGGGGAGAAATGAAGAGAGAGAGGTGTCTTAATGATACTGTGACAAAGGCGCAATAAACAGAAAAGGGAAAGAGTAGTTCCAATTAAAATGAAAACAAAATTGCCTTTCAGTGATAAAACTTAAAATATCCTGTATTTATAGTGATCAGCAACCAAAGACAAAGTTAGATCTATATATTACTTACAGACAAAAGTCTCCACATGTGTGCATGGGTCACCGCACTTAGGGCACCGTAGTTGGCTTCCACCCTTCCCTGAACCTCCTGATCCAGATGATCGTTTGCTACCCCCTTCGCTGACAGACTTCTGCAAACATTTAATAAACCAGAAATTACAAGTTTATGTTAAACATGGATCACTATCTTGAGGATTCAGGGCAAGTTCACAACAGTTGCACAAGTTTCAAAAATTAAGATTTCATTATACAAATGAACTTTAAATGGTAACTAAACAACAGGAAAACCTTAGGCATAAAATCCATAATCTGTTTTAGAAACAGATTAGTTATAAACTACAGAAAAATGAATTTCATAAGTTTGATAAATAACATGGAAGTTTACCTTGTTGCTATCTCCTGACGTATCTTTTGTGCCACCATCTTTTGATGCAAGTAGAGTAATAGCTTCACCAAATGATCTGCAAGGAACTTTTGTTCCTCTTTGTGTTTCAAAACAAGAGGAGTGTCCTAAGAATGGGAAGTGAAATCGAGCAAAACCAAATCCTGAAAATGAAATGTAAACTCACTGTCACAATGCTGCCACAAAATATTTCAGAGATGTAAATATTCCTTACGTCTACTTTTTCAGAATAGATCAAGTATTGACTTTTTAAATAGTTAAGTTTGACAGTCCACTCCACAAATTGGATAGAAATTACTAAACAAATCATATTGGATGTTGGTTGTCAGTGCAGTTTTGGTCTTCTGCATCTATTATTAAAATATCAGGCTCATGGTTTTGAGAGTTTGGTAGTAACTTTATCCTGAAGAGATTACTTTATACTTAATTTTATGTGGTGGGTATAGTTAAACTGCATTTAATGCAAAGACGATGAGGTTTTTGAGAACTAGTAGCAAAGGAAACCAGCTATGCGAAGATAAATACACGAGCAAATCAGTCTTCCCTTATATACCACTGTGTAGTATTAGTCATTACAAAGCAAAGGGTTCTTGAGAACAGCACAATGATACCAAAATACACTGGGAACAGCATTCGAAAATCAGTTTAAACTTAAAATATAAACGAGCCAGTTCAAAGCTACAATCCAATTTTGAACCAGTTTCAGCTAGGCAGGTTGCTAGAATGAGTGGGTGAATAAGTGGGAGGTAAAGTTTAAAGAAGTGCGAAGTGATTCATTTTGGTAGAAAAAACAAGGACAGGCAAATAAAGTAACACGTACAAGTTTAAAGAGGTTGCAGAAACAGACTTGGGCATACAATTTATGTGCTAAATCACTGATATAAGCAGGACAGGTTGAGATAGTAGTTAATAAAACAAATGGCATTGTGGTCTTTGTAAATAGGAACAGAGTAAAACTGCAAGGGAATTGGTAAAACCTCTACAAAATAATTTGTTTGGCCTCAGCTGGGCTGTTCTGTCCATTTCTGGTCACCACACTTTAGGAATGATGTAAAGGCATTAGAGCTAGTGCGGAAAACATTCATGAATGAATCATTCCAGGCCTGAGAAAATTCAGTTCCTTAGACAGATTGGAGAAGTTAGGACTGTTCATCTGGGAAAACAGCATTGAAAGGACGTTTAACAGAGGCAAAGACATGAGTGGTCTGAACAGAACAGTTAAAAATTGTTCAACAGAAAGCATACATTGAAGGTAATTGGTAAAAGTAGTAATAGTGACATCAGGAAAACTTTCATTGAGTACCTAGAGTCTGGAATACACAGTCTGAGTGTCTAAGAGAGGCACATGCAATCAAGGCATTAGAGAGAGAATTGGACATATAAGAAGAAGATTTTCAGTGTTTGGACAGAAGACAGTATCTAGCTCTTGGTGAACTGATCCTTTAAACAGCTAGCACAGACAGGCCAAATGGCTTCCATGTGCGTGTGTGCGTGGTGGGTGGAAGCAGCTCAAATTCTAAAAACAAAGCTGGGGACAGTTAGTCACAATAATTTTAGGGGTTCTGCTGGTAAGTTGCCAGGGGTAAAAATGGTGACTTCAACCCAAGACACTGCCTGGGGAGCAAGGTGGAATTAGCAATACGGGTATGATGCCTGTGGCTGGGTACAAAGGCAATGGCCAAAGTCTAACACAAGGAAATTGTGACTCAAGCAGGACCAAGTGCCTGTCAAACAGGTTGATAGCACAAAAGCAGGAAATTATGTCAAAGCAGACATTTAAAACAAAAATGGAAATTTGGAACAAACTCAGCCACCATAATACATGCCTTGTCACCATTGCATCACATACATGACACAATAAAGCAATGTAATTGCATTGTTCACACAAAAGTTGTAAAGTTCACCAATACTTTTCTCCCAAAAACTGTAGCCTTCAATAAAAGAGTATAAAGAAGTCCAAATCATGAAGACAGACTACCTAAATTTATATGGAATACTTTATAACACCCCAAAGCACTTTCCAGCCAGTGTGGAACCTTATAAAGTGTAGCCTCTGCTATAATATACAAAATATAATATTCAACTTACATTCCCCGGACTCGCTCAGACATTAAGTAGCCTGATCAGATTTATGAATTGATTTAGGAGGCTTAAAAACAATCCCAGCTGGGACAGGGGATAACGCATCAGGAGGTGTCCATCTATCAAAATAGGCAGAACCTAATCCAAAAAGCAGCATCTCTGACAACGTAACACCGACCCAAAATCTCCAACTTCGATCTGGGCACTGAGTCAACAACTTCTGTACCGAGAGGCGACAAGAAAATAAAATCGTTGAGCCGAGACTCAAGCACAGATTACGCCGACTGTATCCATCGCCATCTCCCCCAGCCCCAAACACATATCCCACACCTAGATTACCATCAGGCTCCCTGTAAAGCGGTAGACTGATGGGTTCTGGGGAGGGGAGGGGAGGCGAGGCGGGGGGTGAAGACGATGTTCTAAGACCAGCCCGGTTCTTACCCAGTCCGGAGGAGGTTACAGACGAGCGGAGAAGACGAGCTACCGACGAGCAGGTACACATCACCACGACGCAGGACATGTCTGGCCCGGGGTCGGTCGGGCGGGCAGGCAGGCAGGCGAGCAGCTGACCGCCTACCCCCCACCGCCTCGGGCTCGGCTGCTTCCCCCTCGGTCTGTCAGTTTGTCCGTCCGTCCGTCCGTCCAACTAACTGACAGGGCCCAAGCGCCTCCCGTCTGAAATACTCGAACTCGCCCGGCGAACAGACACCGGAATCCGGACTGAATGTTCGAGATCCACTCGAGGATGGACTCCCGCCACCAGAGGGGAAAAAAATAATAAACTTCCACACAAAATAAACCACAAATAAATAAACAATTCCTCGCCGCCGCGGTCCGGCTCTGTCCAACGTCGCCGACGCACAGTTACGGCCCCGGAAGCGGTTTCTTCCGCGCGGGGGGGGGGGTCAAATCAGGACTTCCTGTTAGTGTGAGTAGGAGCCCGGCGGCTGTTGGTGTGCGGCGGTCACGTGGGCCCGGCCCGCGCCATATTGAATGGGCAAATGGTGGCAATGGTAGCGAGGGACATTGGAAACCTAGGCAGTCACACACCGCCGGGCTTCCTTATGGCAGGAATGCACCGAATTATGTACATTCCCATCATACAACTCCATACCAAGAAAAAAAGGAAACGATTTTGTCATTTTGACGTCCACCTGAGAGTGCAGGCAAGGGCCTTAGTGATGAAATTATGATGGGAGTAGTTAGGGTATGGAATGTACTACCTGGAAGTGTGGTGGAGGCGATTTAATTGAGGCATTCAAGAGGACATTGGAAGATATTTTCAATGGAAATAATGTGCAAAGGTATGGGGAAAAAGCAGGAGATTGATAGCAGCTAGTGATGCTCATTTAACAAGTGGGCGCAGACATGATGGCCAGAATGGATCCCTACGTGATAACATTTCTGTGATCAATAACACTTATGCATGCAAAGATTCAGCACCTCTGTCAATGTAGCATTCCTCCAGTGCAGCACAGGAGGAGAAACCTCAAAGGGAAGCATAGGACTGGATGGAGAATGTTGCAGGGATTAGGAGGGAAGACGGTTTTGGTTTTCACAAGGATGCTGAAACACTACCAAGTTATTTTTCCCCCTTTCCTCCCTGCAGAGTTTAACTGCACTCAGCTCCCTATTGAGCTTTCATTAGATTATAAAATTACCAAGCTTCTATCTCTATTTTGTTGCCACATTTTCTGAATTGATTGTCACCCGCCTTTTGCCTTTGATATGATGCTGATTGCCACCTGCATTGTTCCACCTGTCCCAATGATAATTGACATGAGTCAGACCCATCTCCTCCCGTGCTTTTGATGGTTAGAACCTAGATTGTTTCACGACTGTCATGTCCATAAAATCATGTACCATAGATAGTGGCCATTACTCCTATCTTGCCTGTGCCTGCTTTTTGGAAGAGCTAACCAATTAGTGCCTCCCGTAGCCCCACAAATTTTTCCCCTTCAAGAATTTGTACAGTTACCCTTTTTAAACATTTATAATTAAAGCTGATTCCATCACCCATTTTAGGCAGTGCATACCAAAATCATGGGGAATTGTCTGTGGCTGATATGATATAATTCACCAATTATAGTCCAATGTCAACCTCATAAGTTGGAACAAAGCAAGACAAAATCCTAAGAACCCATGTTTTTCTTTGAAATATAGTGTTAACCTAACACTTCTGGAAGGTTACCTGTGCTATTCCCCAAGGATCCTGGCCCCTTCCTATTTCCTGTCTTTATGGTGCCTCTCCATAGCAAGGTCCCCCGAACAATAGTGTAATAATGATCAGATAATCTGTTTTAGTGACGTTGATTGAAGGATGAATATTACCTAAGACACAAGGTGTACTCCCCTGCTTTTCAAAATGGTTTCATGCAATATTTTACATCCATCTGAGAGGGCAGATGCAGCCACAGTTTAGTGTCTCATTTTAAAGCAGCACTTCTGACTGTGCAGCAGTCTAATAATACACTGGAATAGAAATCTCTTTGAGAATTGTGAGGTTGGAGGGGATTGCAAAGATCAGGAGGGGAAGGCTACAGGGAGATTTAAACATCCTCTAGACAGTTTCAGCTTAGGAAGTCTGAGATTTGAGTGAAATTCAACTGTTATTTTGTAAGGGTAAAATTATGCATGTTTTGTGATGAAGAAGGTTTGGAAGCTCAACTCAGGATCAAGCAGGGCACAAAGTTTGCAGCTTTGGTAAAAGGAAATAGGAAAATAGTTGACTAAATTAACAAAGAGAGGGGACAGCGGTAGAAGCAGGTGAACAGACAACAGCTATCTCTGATGACAAGATGAGAATGGGTTTATGTTGCTACTGTGGAATGAGCAATGGTCAGTTTTAGCAGAGGGTATGGAGTCGAACAGAGGTTTGATGTCAGTTTTAGCAGGGGTTATGGAGCCTAATAAAAGTTTGATTGTCTCTAGCCAGGTCTGCTGATGGATTACGAAGCGTACTGTATGCTAAATATGCTCAATTTCCATCCTAATACTCGAGAGGAGTCCAATCCAAGACAAATGTCAAGGATAGGACACAGTGAATTTTCTGCAGGGATCAAACCCTGTGAGTGAGTGTCTAACAAAATCAACAGTTGCTAAGCCAATATGAATCAGAGTTCCCAGAAGTAATGGGTGGAAGAGACTTAGTGTGAGGTAGGCTAGAGGATAATACCTGGCATGGTTCGAACCCTGTTGAGCTAGCTCATCTCACATGTAGTGGTAAGGTTTTATAATTGTGCTTTGGCTTTGAAGTGGAAAGCAATATGAGACCAGGGAGAAAGATAAATGGGTTAACAAGGTGACATAGAAACAGATTGGAGACTGCTAAACAGAAGAAACTTTGCCTCATAATATAGAGGATCTTTTGCTTCATTAGCGTCCTTTTCTTAACAGCTCTGTCAACATGCACAACCACTCCGTTTGGATGAGGATGCAACTAACAAAGAATGGATGGTAGGAAAGATTGAAAACTGCACAGAAAACTGTTTAGTTTTTTTGAAAATGACCAAATCTGTGAACTGATAAAAGACTTCATAATGGGAATATTAAAGTGGTTTGTATCAGAGTAATTTTAAAATCAAAATTAATTTTGGAGTTGGATTATAAACTAATATAAGTAAAATGATAATTCAGTGAAAAAAACTGCATGGTGAATTGTTCTTACAGATACTTGGCACAGACTGATGGGCTGAGTGGCCTCCTTCTGTGCTGTATACAGTCCATGATTTCATGTTGATGTAATTTACCAATAAGTTAAATGGGTATCTATTGAGCACAAAATCTAAGTTCATACCAATGCATTACAGGAAGAGTGATACACTGCTGAAAGCATTGTCTTTCAGCCATTAAACTGTGAATCCACCTGCCCCCTCAGGTGAGTGGACAAGATCCTATGGCAATATTTCAGAGAAAAGCAGGGTCATTGTCCCTGACAGCCTGACCAATATTTATTCCTTAGCTTATATAGAGTCATACGGGACGGAAACAGACCCTTCGGTCCAACTCGTCCATGCCAACCAAGTTTCCCAAATTAAACTAGTCCCACTTGCCTGTATTTGGCCCAAATCCCTTTCAACCTTTCCTATCCACGTACCTGTCCAAATGTCTTCTAAACGTTGGAACTGTACTACCTGATCCACCACTTGCTCTGGCAGTTCATTCTACATTTGAACCGTTCTCTGTGAAAAAGGTTGCTCCTCAGGGATGCATCTTGTCGATGATGTAAACCTCTGCCACTGCACAATAGTAAAGAAGTTCGTGTTTAATACAGTGGATGTGATGCCTATCAAGCGGGCTGCTTTGTCCTGGATGGTGTTGAACTTCTTGAGTGTTAGTGGAGCTGCATCCATCTAGGCAAGTGGCGAGTAATCCATCACACTCCTGACTTGTGCCTTGTTGATGGTGGGCAGGCTTTGGGGAGTCAAGAAATGAGCTACTTGCCAGAGAATTCCCACTCTCTGACCTGTTGCTTTAGCCAATTGACACCAAACTAGAAGGTATTGGTTTTCAAGGAGTCTTGTCAAGGAGGGTAAGCCAGACAGATTTATGGGGAAGATTCAAGAGTTCAAGGTCTCAAAGTATCATTCATAAAAGTTCGTCTGATCATGATTACTTCTTTGTCAGAGCTTGCAGTGCACAAAGTAGCTGCCATATTTCTGACATTACAACAATAACATACTTGAAAAAGTACTTAAAAAGCACTCGTACTCTTTGTCTCGCACGTCACTCAGAGGTGTACACTGACACACACAAACACACATTACTCAGGGATGTGCACACACACACACACACACAAACACATGTCAGTCAGATGTACAATCACATGTCACTCCTTGTGTGGACACATTCTGTCTGCAAGAGAGAGATTGCGCATGTCCGACAGAGACTGTACTCTTTCACACTGTGTTTGTGTGCGTGCACGCAAGAAACTGCATGTGTTGTGAGTGAGAGAGAATGTCTGATAAAGACAGTATTTGAGAGTGAGTGTTTCTGACGGTGTGAGCAAGCACGAGATTGTGCATGAGAGAAATATGTGTTGAATTTCTTGAGAGTTGTTGCGGTAACATCCGTTCAATCAAACGGAGAACATTCCATGCTCTCTTGATTTGTGCCTTGATTTAGAAGATCAGGCGATGAGGTACTTCCTTCAGTAGGCTTGGCTTTTATGTATAGCTAATCAGTTTAGTTTTTAGTTAAAGGTGGCCAGGATGTTTATGGAGAGCAATTTGGGTATAGTAATGCTATAGAATGTCAAGCCAAGGTGTGTTGTTCATTCATTGCACTTGTATAGTTAATTAGCACTTACAAGGTCAACTCTGAATGCTTTCAAGGTCTTACGACATGCAGTCATGGACTACTTCATTATCTGAGGAGTTGTGAATAAAAATAAAAATTGAAATTATCTGTGAAAATCCTACTTATGACCTTATGATGGAGAGAAGGTCATTGATGAAAGAGCTGAAGATAGTTTGGCATAAGACACGACCTTGAAGAATAGATTGTAGGTAGTGGTGTAGTGGTAATATCACTAGAGTTGTAATCCAAACCCCCAGCCCAATTCTGTGGGGGTATGGGTTCAAATCCTGCCATGGCAGATAGTAAAATTTGAATTTCATTAAAACATCTAAAGAACTGGGTTAAGAGGCCTGATTTGAAGTCCCACCTGCTTCAAAAGCATGTCATAACATCGCTGATAGCAAAGTGTGGAGCTGGAGTATTATTTTTGTCATTTCTGAAGAAGGGTCCTGACCCAAAATGTCAGCTTTCTTGTTCTTCTGATGCTGCCTGGCTTACTGTGTTCCTCCAGCTCCACACTTTGTTATCTCTGACTCCTGCATCTGCACTTCTTGCTATCTCATAACATTTCTGAACAGGTTAATTAGAAAATATCTACTCTGATGATATTTAAAAATCACAATCATG